CACGTATTTAGACCCGAACCGTAACTCCAAGATAGACTACACAAATGTCAAGAAAGTTCTTGATGATGTTCTTCCCGCCTATGCCAAATCTGGAGGCACCTTCACCAGGGCAGTTCGTAAGTACGGCAAGCACATGTTCTAACACAATACGAAGTTCTGCTGCGTCAAGCAGCCGCCTGGCGGTCAGAAGGATGCCTACTACGACCTCCATCACATGCGGGCGATCGTAAGGGACCATCATCAACTTCTGCTACCAGATAATCTCAAAGATTGGGCCGCGAGCTTGTCGGCAGTCCAGGACGCGGACCTCAGACAAGAATTCTTTCGCATCCAGTCGGAGTTTGCGGACATCATCCATCAAGATGTCCTTCATACCTCGGGGCAGTTCTTCCTCAGATATCAACCGTCCAACAATGAGATAGATGAAATGCTACAAATGCAGGGTGACAACGACCGCGATTTCATGACCATCACGACAGACGGCGGCTTCATCCACGTTCCTGTCCGACGAGTCGAGTCGAAAGTAGTGATGTGTAGTTCTGAAACATTGATTGGCTCATGTTGTAATTATACTTTAATGAATTCGTATGTCTCTTTGGTTTGGACAGTCGTTCAACTTAGATGTAATCGATGCTATTTATTAGTAGGACCATGAATCGTGCTATTAATGTCTTGCTTTTCTCTTCCGATCCTTTTGTTGCATACTTACATATTGCTTATGTATTGTCTGTTGTTTGGCTTGTGCATAGAGATGCCGTCGTATGTCGTGTACAAGGGTAAGGTTTCCGGAGTCTACGACGACTGGGAGGAGTGTCGGAGACAGGTTCACCGTTTCAGCGGTAACAGTTACAAAGGGTACACCACTAGGGCGGAGGCCGAATGTAGATACGCCCGCTATCTAGAGGGAGAGAGGAGGGAGCGTTGGACGAACCGGATGAAGACCAGTTTGATCGCGATGATGCTCATCGTGATGACCACAGCTCTCTTCTATGTGATGGTAGTTTAGATGATCGATATCGACTTGTAATGTGAAGGCAAACTCGATACTCGCGGTCTTGAGACTTGTAATGTTTTATCTTTGTTCGATCTTTTGAATTCAGAGACTAATATGATGAATTGCATTCGGAGACTAATCTTCTATTGTATTCGATGAATCTGATGTTGTTGTGTGCTGCTGTCTATATTCTGTCCAATAATATATTTTGTAACCTGTGCAAAAATGAGAAAAGCAAAAAAAAACCTAATATTCATACTAATGGCGCACCACACAAGACACTAATGGTGCACTATGATCATCACACTAATGGCGCATTAACTGCTGGTGCGTCATTAGAATGCCAAAGCACATGGGTACATATGGCCCCCTGGGAGGCATTCTAATGGCGCACTGCAGGCTATACTAATGACGCACTACCTGGTGCGCCATTAGAACAGAATTTAATTCTAATGGCGTGATGCCAGTGGCGCACCGCTAGTGCGCCATTAGAAGGCAAATTCGGTGCGCCACTAGCATTCCTTTTTCTAGTAGTGTTTCATGTGATGACTACCCCAAAGTGAAAGGAAAGGCAATCTGATAAAACAAAAACTGGGGGTGCACGAACTCACAACCTTCTCTAGGAAGGACATGCGGGCTCACCACTGGAACTAGGGAAGAAGGTTGTGAACATATGTGGTCAGGTTTGCATATATTTTGTGGAGCTAAAATGTTTTAAATTTGATGTTTCATTTGAAATTTTGTTCGATTTTTTTGGCTGAGCCCTTCCTCCTCCGATTCTCAAGCAATTTTGAACACATCATCCCATAGCTTAATTATGTATGAATCCTTCATAGGTACGTGTAGCATATCTCTTGAGGTTTTGCTGCTCCTATTCTTTCCTTCCCCGCCAAGCGTACAAATGCATTATCCTTTAGATTTATCTTTGCCGAGGAATGGGGCCAATTGTGGAATAGGTAGGGAAGACCAAGAGTCGGGTTAAAAAACACAGTCATTATGTGACACGCTGTATCAATGGCCTGCAAGACTTGTGGATTTGGATGAGTAGAGGACTAGTCAGAGCATTTATATTGATGGGAATATTTTCTGGCCTTTGCACCAGTAACACTATTAGTTGAGGAAGAGGAGTTGGTGTACCAAAGCAACAGTCGAACCCATAGCGGCTAAAAAAACCCAACATTTGTGGCTATTGTTTTTAGAGAAAATGCCTCTTGACCGGACTTTTAGATAAAGCCATATTGGCAATGTCATCTCAAAACGACGATGCTAGCAAAGCACGACAACACACACGACATCACTAGACTAAATAACAAGAGACAGTTTCTCCGATACTACGCAAGCCATCAAAAGGTGACAGAAGATTGAAGGGCACCACGTTGGCAACAGTAGCTCAAATCTTGGAGATCATCCTAGCAATGGTGTTGGCTTCTGCACCTCTAGTGAGCAGTTTCCACTATTGCAAGTAAGCAATCATTTTGAACAAGCAATCAAAGGACCGGTTATGAAAATAATGTTCGATAGATAACTTGTTGCGAGTAGTCCAAAGAGACCAAAACAACTCAACAATGGCAACACCTAACGGTTGTGGCTACAAGTGCGTATACTAGGGTAATTCTGGCTTTGGAGTCAATTGTTTCTAAGATTGACTCTTTGGAGGTCAATTAAGGTTAACTAAAACACGGTGCTACATTTAAGCATAGGTGTAGCTGCAAGAACATGAGTTAGTTTGAGTTATTTTGTGATGTTATGGGATACAATGTACATAGAGACAGTTTGGATTGCGCCACAGCCAACCCAGCCAATCTGTGGGCAAGCCAAATAAGTAGCGGATGATTCGCCCTCCCTCGGCTCTT